CACAAAAAATAAAAATATTATATCTTAAATAAATAATAATAAAAAATAAAAAACACCCTTTAATATCGAAATTTCCCAAAACGGAGAAAATAAACCACACAAGAAAAAGAAAATATATATCCTTAAATAAAATAATCATAAAAAAATAAAAAAAATAAAAAACACCTTTAATATCGAAATTTCCCCAAACCGGGGAAAAAATAACAAAACGAAAAAAAAAAATAATAATAAATAAAAAATATAAAAATAAAAAATAAAAAAATCCTACGGTAACCTCAAACAAACCCCCTTCATCCCAGCAGCTGTTCGCGACCGAGGCCACCCCAGCCCCCCAAATCAACCCAAGAAAAGAGTGCCAAGGAGCAAGACACGACCAGCTCCGCGAGATTCAGCCTTGCGTAGCCGAGCGAGAAATGCGCGCCCCTGCCCGTCTTGCTTACTCCTCTAGCGTCTCTCTCTCTTCCTCCCTTTGTCCTCCATTCCCTCTCTCTGCCGTGCCTACTCTCCCTGCTTTCGAACCAGTTATTTCCCCTTCTTCTCTCTGCGTCTCTCCCCCTTTCCCTTCCGACTCTCTCTCCTCTCTCTCTCTGGTCTTCTTTGTGTATCTCATATCGTCTCTCTACATCTCTCTCTCTTCTCTCTCTCTCTCTCTCTCTCTCTCTCTCTCTCTTCTCTCTCTCTCTCTTCGTCTCTCTCTCTCTCTCTCTCTCTCCCTATCCCTTTCTCTCTCTCTCTCTCTCTTCCCTTTCCCTCCTCTTTCTCTCTTTCCCTTTTCCCTTTCCTCTCTCTCTCTCTCCTCTCTCTCTCTTCTCCTCTCTCTCTCTCTCTTCTCTCTCTCTCTCTCTCTCTCTCTCTCTTCTCGCTCTCTCTCTCGCTTCTCTGCTCCACAACACAGCATATTCCCTTGCCTCAGTCTCTCTCTGCTGCACTTCCCTCCTCTATCTCTCTCCTACCCCTGTATCCGCTTCCTGACTCACTCTCTCTCTGACTCTCTCTCTCTTCTTCTATCTCTTTCTCTCTCTCTCTCTCTCTCTCCTCGTCTCTCTCTCTCTCTCTCTCTCTCTCACACTGTCACTCTCTCCTTTCCTCTTCCTCTCTCTCTCTCTCTCTCTTTCCTTTCCCTTCCACCTCTTCTCCCTCTCTTCCTTTTCGCTTGCCTACCTCTCTTTCTTTCCCTTCCTATCTTCGTCTGCCTCCCTTGTTCCCTTGCTCTTCTCGCTTCCCTTTCCCTTGCCGTCTCATCTCTCTCTCGTCTCTGCTCGTCCCTTTCCTATTGCCCACCATCTCTTCTCCCGGTTTCGATGTAAGAGAGCGAAGAAGGCCGAGGGAAGAAGCTAGTGCCTCCTACTCATCGTCTAGGAGCTCGTACCGAGAAGAAGAAGTGAAGAGTCGAGGATCCCGTTCCAGTTAGCTTCGTCTGCTCTCCATTTCACCGTTCCTCTTGCATTTCTTCTCTCGATTTCTTCTTTGGCTCTCTACTCATACCTTTGGCCCTTTCTCTGCTACTGCTGCGTCTCGTCAGGCGAAGAGGCTTCAAGTCCATGTATCTCTCTCGTCTCATCCCTATGTAACCCAGAGTGGTGTCTACTCTCATACTGCTCTCTCGGTGTACAGCAGGCTATTTCAAGACGCTTTCATCTCTCTTGAAACAACGTCGAAGGAGGGGGGACCTATTTCGCAGTTTGCATACGTACGTCTGCTCTCCCTTTCCCGTCTGTCTNGCTTGGCCTGTCTTTCTCTGTCTCTGTCTCTGTGTGTCTGGCTTGTCTTTCTCTGTCTTTCTCTGTCTGGCTCTCTCTCTGTCTGGTCTCTGTCTCTGTCTCTGTCTCTGTCTCTGTCTCTGTCTCTCTCTGTCTCTCTGTCTCTGTCTCTGTCTCTCTCTCTTCTCTCTCTCTCTCTCTCTCTCCTTCTCTCTCTCTCTCTCTCTCTCTCTCTCTCTTCTCTCTCTCTCTCTCTCTCTCTTCCTCCTCTCTCTCTCCCTCCTCTCCCTCCTCCTCCCTCCTCCCCCTCTCTCCACTCTTTTCCTCCCTTCCCTACCTCCCCCCCTTCTCCCCTCTCCCCTCCCCTCCCTTCTCTCTCCCCTCTCTCTCCCTCCTCCCTTCTCTCTCTCGGCTCCTTCCTCTCCTCTTATATAATCCGTCTGCAGGGCGTTGAAGGGAGCGTTGCGGTATGAACGGATTGAGGTGGTTCTATGGGTGGTTTAGTGTGGTGTTTTTGTTTTGTGTGTGTTGTTTGTTTGTTTTTTGTGGGTTTTGTTTTTTGTTTGTGTGTTTTTGTTTGTTTTGGTTGTGTGTGTGTGTGTTTGTTTGTTTGTGCGTGTGTGTTTGTTTGTTTGCGTGTGTATCTTTTTTTGTGTGTCTTTGTTTGTTTGTGTTTGTGTGTGGTGTGTTTGTATGTGTTTTGTATGGGTTTGATTGGTTGTGTTTGTTTGTATGTGTGTGTGTTTTTGTTTGTTTGGCTGTGTGTGTTTGTTTGTGTGTTTGTGTGTGTTGTGCGTGAGTTGGAGGGGGCGGGGTGAGATGATAATGTTTTTTTATGATGTGTTTGGTGATGGTGATTGTGATGGTGATGGTGATGATGATGATGAGATGATGATGATGATGATGATGATGATGATGAATGATGATGATGATGAGGAGGAGGAGGAGGAGGAGGAGGAGGAGGAGAAGAAGAAGAAGAAGAAGAAGAAGAAGAAGAAGAAGAAGAAGAAGAAGAAGAAGGAGAAGAAGAAGAAAGAAGGAGAAGAGAAGGGAGAAGAAAACGAAGAAAAAGAAGGAAGAAGGAGAAGAAAGAAGAAGAAAAAGAAGAAGAAGAGAAGAAAAAAAAAAATGAGAAGAAAAAGAAGGAGAGAAGAAAAAGAAGAAGAAGAAGAAGAAGGAAAAAGAAAAAGAATAAGGAAAAGAAGAAAAAAAAGAAGGAGAAGAAAAGAAGGAGGAGAAAAAGAGAAAAAGAAAAAAAAAGAAAAGAAAAAGAAGAGAAGAAAAAGAAAGAAGAAAAAGAAAAAGAAAGGGAGGAGAGAAGAAGGAGAAAAAAAAGAAGAAGAAGAAGAAAAGAAGAAGAAGAAGAGAAGAAGAGAAGAAAAAGAGAAGAAAGAAGAAGATGAAGAACAGAAAAAGAGAAAAGGAAGAAGGAGAAAGAAAAAGAACGAAAGAAGAGAAAAGAAGAAGGATAAGACGAGAAGAAGAAGAAGAGCTTAAGGAGAAAAGGAAGCCGACGATGGTTACCACAACGACAAAACGAGAAAACAGAAAGCCGACGATGACGAGAAAAGATGGAATGATAAAAAGAAAGATAATGATAAATAGAAAGATAGATGAAACCCAACGGTGACGAGAACCAAGGGCAGAAAGAAGAGATATAGAGGAGCGGGAAAGGGAAAGAAAAAAGCATTGAAGAAATAAAGAGAAATAAAAGAAATGGGACGAGAAATATATAAAAAGGAGTATGAAACAGATACAGAGGTTAAAATCGAAATAATATGAAGGAGTAATAAGCAAATACAGAAAAAATCAAAAATAGAAGCAGTAAGAAGCAAATACAGAAAAGAAATCCAAAAATACAGAAAGGAATCGAATAAATAAAAGGAAGGACAGAAGCAAATAGAAAATAAATCAAAATAGATACAGAAGTAGAAAGAAATAAAGAAAAGAACCAAAATAGATATAATTTATTAAAAAAAAAAAAAAAAAACGCGAGAAGACGGAAGAGAAAGAGAGAGAGATAAGCGGAGATAGAAGTAGCCGTCGGTTCGCGTCAGGAGGAGGAGACCCGGCGAGCCATCCGGGAGGCGCGCGTCTGCCTGTTGCCAATGCCGCCCTCCATCCCGCCCTCCCGCCCTCCCGCCTCGCGTCCTCCTACCTCCCGCCTCTCTCGCCCTCTCGCGAATCGGCCGCTGCCTCGCTCGCTCGCCCGACTCGCCGCCGCACTCGTCGCCCGCTCGCCGTCTCTTTTTCTCCGTCTCGTTCGGTCGGTCGGTCGGGCTTAGTGCGACGCTTGCCTCTTCGGCGCGGTTCGGTGGCTTGTATCGGGCGCGGTTTAGTATTCGGTCTCTTTGAAGGGGATGGTCTCTCAGAGGGAGGTCTCTTGAAGGGGTGGTCATTCAGAGGGGTCTCTCTCAGAGGGGTGGTCTCTTTGAAGGGGTGTCTCTTGAAGGGGTGTCTCTCAGAGGGTGGTCTCTTGAAGGGTGGTCTCTCAGAGGGGTGGTCTCTCAGAGGGGTGGTCTCTCAGAGGGGTGGTCTCTCAGAGGGTGGTCTCCTTGAAGGGGTGGTCTCTGCAGAGGGGTGGTCCATGGTCTCTCTGGTCTCTTGAAGGGGTGGTCTCTCAGAGGGGTTGGTTCTCTCTCAGAGGGGTGGTCTCTCAGAGGGGTGGTCGTCTAAGGTGGTCTCTTGAAGGGGTGGTCTCTCAGAGGGTGGTCTCTCAGAGGGGTGGTCTCTTGAAGGGGTGGTCTCTCAGAGAGGTGGGGGGTGGTCTCTTGAAGGGTCTCTCTCTCAGAGGGGTGGTCTCTTGAAGGGGTGGTCTCTTGAAGGGGTGTTCTCTCAAAGAGAGGGTGGTCTCTTGAAGGGTGGTCTCTTGGGGTGGTCTCTTGAAGGGGTGGTCTCTTGAAGGGGTGGTCTGAAGGGGTCTCTCAAAGAGGGTCTTCCTCAAGGGGTGGTCTCTTGAAGGGGTGGTCTCTTGAAGGGGTGGTCTCTCAGAGGGGTGGTCTCTCAGAGGGGTGGTCTCTTGAAGGGGTGGTCTCTCAAAGAGGTGGTCTCTCAGAGGGGGTGGAAGGGGTGGCTCTTGAAGGGTGGTCTCTCAGAGGGGTGGTCTCTTTCTTGAAGGGGGGGTCTCTAAAGAGGTGGTCTCTCAGAGGGGTGGTCTCTTGAGGGGTGGTCTCTCAGAGGGGTGGTCTCTTGAAGGGGTGGTCTCTCAAAGAGGTGGTCTCTCAGAGGGGTGGTCTCTTGAAGAGGTGGTCTCTCAAAGAGGGTGGCTCTCAAGGGGTGGTCTCTCAAAGAGGTGGTCTCTCAGAGGGGTGGTCTCTTGAAGGGGTGGTCTCTCAGAGAGGTGGTCTCTTGAAGGGGTGGTCTCTCAAAGAGGTGGTCTCCTCTTGAAGGGGTGGTCTTCAGAGGTGGTGTCTTGAAGGGGTGGTCTCTTGAAGGGTGTTGGTCTCTTGATGGGTGGTCTTCAAAGAGGTTTCTCAAAGGGGTGGTCTCTTGAAGGGTGGTTCTCTTGAAGGGGTGGTCTTCAGAGAGTGTTCTCTCAAAGGGGTGGGTCTCTCTCTTGAGGGGTGGTCTTCAGAGAGGTGTTTCTCTCAAGGGGCGGTCTCTTGAAGGGTGGAATCTGAAGGGTGGTCTGCTCAGAGGGTGGTCTCTTGAAGAGTGTCTCAAGAGGTGTTCTCTTGAGAGGTGTGGTTCTGAAGGGGTGGTCTCTCAAAGAGGTGGTCTTCAAGAGGGATGGTCTCTTGAGGGGTGGTTCTCTCAGAGGGGTGGTCTCTTGAAAGGGGTGGTCTCTCAGAGAGGGTAGTCTCTTGGAAGGGTGGTCTTTGAAGGGGTGGTTCTCAGAGAGGTAGTCTTTGAAGGGGTGGTCTCTTGGTAAGGGGTGGTCTCTAAGGGAGAGTAGTTCTTGAAGGGCGTGGTCTCTTGAAGGGGTGGTCTCTCAGAGAGGGGTAGTTCTCTCTGAAGGGTTGGTCTCTTGAGGGGTGTGAGGTCTCTCAGAGGGTGGGAAGGGGTGGTCTCTTGGGGGTGGTCTCTAGAGGGTGTCTCTCAAGGGTGGTCTCTTGAGGGGTTTCAGAGGGTCTCTCAGAGGGGTTGGTCTCTTGAAAGGGGTGGTTCTCTCAGAGAGGTAGTTTGAGGGTGGTCTCTCAGAGAGTAGTCTCTTGAAGGGGTGGTTTCAAAGAGGGTGTTCTTCAGAGGGGTGGTCTCCTTGAAGGGTGTGTCTCTCAAGAGGGTGTCTCTCAGAGAGAGGTGGTCTCTTGAAGGGGTGGTCTCTTGAAGGGGTGGTCTCTTAAAGAGAGGTAGTCTCTTGAAGGGTGGTCTCTTTGAAGGGGTGTCTTCAGAGTGTCTCTTGGTCTCTTGAAGGGATGGTCTTCAGAGGGTTGGTCTCTCTGAGGAGATGGTCTCTCAGAGGGGTGGTCTCTTGAAGGGGTGGGTTCTTCAGAAGGGTGGTCTCTTAAGGGGTGGTCTTCTCAAAGGTTGGTTTCTGAAGGGGTGGTCTTTCAGAGGGTGGGGTCTCTTGAAGGGGTGGTTCTCTAGAAGGGTG